AGATAAACCTTAAACATTAAGGCTACATCCACACTGCAGGCTTCTTGCACAAGAACTGTTTTGCGCAAGAATTCTTGTGCAAGAGGGTGTCCACCCTGCCATGTGCTTTTGCTCAAGAGATGTGCTTTTGCACAAGAGCATCCATAGTAGTGTGGATGCTCCCTCCCGCACGAAAGCTCTGATGGCCATTTTAACCATAGGGGTTTCTTGTGCAAGAAACCCCTGTTGCCCGTCCACTCTGCCTTCTTGCGCAAGAGGGCTTATTCCTCGTGGGGAGAGGAATAACTCTTGTGCACTGCCATGTGCTTTTGCTCAAGAGATGTGCTTTTGCACAAGAGCATCCATAGTAGTGTGGATGCTCCCTCCCGCACGAAAGCTCTGATGGCCATTTTAACCATAGGGGTTTCTTGTGCAAGAAACCCCTGTTGCCCGTCCACTCTGCCTTCTTGCGCAAGAGGGCTTATTCCTCGTGGGGAGAGGAATAACTCTTGTGCAAGCAGCCCTCTTTTCTGACGCTTTACTGTAAATTTACTTGTTAAAGAATGCACGCGCAGTGTAAATGCTCCTCAAGCTTTTGTGCATGAACGGCCATTCTCGCTCCAAAAGCCTGCAATATATCCCTAACAGTTTGGATGGGGATTAATCGATCCTTGAGTTTCCTGCTGCCCCCTCCAACTACTGTAGATATGAAAATTGTAATACTCTTGAGTAAGTTTTATAATGATTTTTGATAGTAGAGACCTCAGTAATTTAGCACACACAGGCATAGGAAGATCCAATGGCCAGAAGCAAGAAAAACTCAAGACTAGAAATAAGGTACAAGCAGTGAAGAGTGAAGGTAATTAAGCCCTGGGGCAGCCATGGATTGTGGTGGATTCTTTGTTACTTGAAGTCTTTACATCGAGACCTCACTCAGAAGTTACAAGCTGATGCAAGCATCAACTGGTGAAATTCTCTGTGAGACCTTACTCACTCAGAAGTTACAAGCTCGATGCAAGCATCAACTGGTGAAATTCTCTGGCCCACATTATGTCGGTAGTCATACCAGTATTAACGGGCTCTGTACAATGCATTTGTGCTGTCTACATAGTAGAAACAGACAACAGACCGTATGGAAATCAGTATCAGGAAACAAAAGAGATGGCAAACAGAGCAGTCTTGGGAGGAATTTTCAGACAAGATCATATGCGTTTGTACATTTGGTAGATGGAGAAGGCAAAAAAATAGTCAGTTTGCCATATAAAATCAAAGTCCTGAAAACTCAGAAGGACTCTTTTAGGCTAGATAAATATTTCTTTCCATGCTGGTCATTTTCTTTACTACATAATGGAACAACTACATCACACAGAGACCCAGAAAGGACAGGTTCAAGAATGCGCCACATTTACTTATGAGAAGTGCAACAAAAGGGACAGTACAGCAAAAACTACCAATTATATGAACAAATTGGGGTGGGCAAGGCAAGAAAGCAACTCAGAACCATGAGAAATTTAAAAAGAAATTGCAGCATAATAAACACAGTTCTGCCCTCAGTGTTAGTGCTAGTTAGTTAGTGTTAATGGTTGGAAAACCCTGATAGGAAAGTCAGAATCAATGTCTATATTGCTCACTACAACCTTTGTCACACAAACTGGAGACAGGTGCCTGGCAGAGCACCTACTTCAATCACTACAAAGGAAATAACTCAGTCAAACTTTAAAAATGTGTCTGAGGTAATCATTAAACAATTTACTCCCAGAGAAAAAAGTTAACGATCCAGGAACAGGGATAATATGGGACACCGTCTACCAATGGGATCAATAGGAAAGCAGAGATTTCAAACCTGACATAAGGTAAATTTTGCTGAAGTTTTCGCTTAGCTGGGAAATTGTTTTAATTGTCCTGAAATTACCACAGACAATTTAACTGATAACTGTAGAGCTCTTTGCTTGTCTGACCAGAACAAAAGGGCGCTGCATTTCCCGGGTCTCCAGTCTGAGGAAGTCAGGAAAAAAGGCTACTCCTCCGTCGCATCAGACACTGGCTCCTTTTGCAACCACAGCAATAAAGAAACAGCCACAAGTTTTTATAGAGGCTGACACGGAAATCTTCTTTCATGTATATATTCTAGTCTAATAAAAGACCTTTGCCAACCAAGCAATGCGATTTCGCGGTGTCTTTGTATCTGGGATCCTAACTCCTGGGGCTCTGCATCAGGATTACATGAGGTCTCTATTTTTTCAGAAGGTGGAGAGAGACGTTTCATACTGCACATCACCTTCAGCTTGACCTATTCACATTACACAGGAAGGGACGTGTTCCCCCTGTTACATGGCAGTTCTGTCCCCGGATAAGCCCGTGTCATAGCTCATCACTATCTAGTGACTGCCTGATAAGCTGTCCAATGAGCAAACCAGGTTAGCTGTCAGCAAGCCAAGGGCGTCTTGGACACAATTGACTCATGTGGCAAGTACCAGCGACTGACTCAGCCCTGACTGTCGCAGTGACAATCAAGAGCTCATAGAACTCAATTTCTGCAGAGCCGATTAAGAAATAATCAGAGTAAGGGAATCAGCTGCACTCGGACGGTGACTGGAAAAATGAACCTACATTCCACTGTCCGTGGAAGTTGCGTCGCCAGCCCATCTCGCACTCCCACATCCTCGGGCCTTGTTCCTGATTTTCAGCCCTTTCAGATATGCTGGTCCTGCCCCTACTTCAACACCTCTCTGTAACTATAGTTTCAGGTTGGCCCAGGAGATAGCAGGGTGGCATTACAGACAGGCAAAGGGAAGCGTTGGAAGAGCACCTCTCTGTAACTATAGTTTCAGCTTGGCCCAGGAGAGAGCAGGGTGGCAGTGCAGACAGGCAAAGGGAAGCGTTGGAAGAGGCAAGGAGGAGAGATTTAAGGCTAATTGCACCAAAGACAAAGCCAGCAACAAGTACAGGCGGATAAGAAGCATTGGGAACAGGGAAAGGAATGTGGTTTTCAGTCAGACCCAATCACACCTGACACAGGTACCTGGGCTATCTTCCTGGCCTGTCCTAGTTCCAAACAGACCATTGCTAAAGAAGAACCCTCATTTGGAGTTAATGAGTCGCAGAAGAAAGCGCTACAGCCAGAAGCCAGCACTGCGACTGTGTCATGCCACAGCTCAGGTAGAGCAGCAGAAATAGCCACCCAGCAGAGCAGACTGGGGGAGGCAAAGGGCAGCCGTCTGCTGGAATGCCCCTCAGGGGCAGGAGGAGGTGTGACCCCTGACTGGCACAGCTGAGCTGACAGAAGTGTGGGATGCAGACACAGTTACGCTAACAAAACTGCTCTGTTTTATGGTTTCACTAATGCCAAGTGCAGCTCTGCTGGCATCGCTGTGTCCAGCCAGGAGGGTTTTGCTGGTGTAACATAACAGTATTCATATATGGGCAATAAGCTCCTAGTGTAAACACAGCCTTGGATTCCTGAGAGCTTGGCTCCTTGCCCACATTGTATGGCTTTCCACACTAGAGCCCGTACTGGTCTAACTACACCCCTCCCGAATCACACCCCCTAACCAGCACAGTTATACTGGCACAAAACTGTGTGGCGACCAGGCCTGTAGCCATCTGTCCCCCTCGGGGAGGTGATATTATGACTGCAGCCCAAGAAAGGGCTTGAAACAGATCCAGTTTGGGTCTCCCACCCCCTTTACAATTTTCCAAGTTGTGCTCTCTGCAACACTTTCACTGACAATGGCACAGATGCTTTAGAGAATCCCAGGTGCCGGTAAAATGCCAATAGCTGTTTTAATGGATGACGTGCTGGGGACCAAAGCGTGACATCTTTGTGGGGGGGGGGGGAATCAACACTGGCAACTTTTCACAAAAAAATATTTGTAACAAAGAAAAGCTATTAGTGACAAAATGCCTTTCACGTGAAAATATTCAAAGCATCTCTGCTTGTCTGGGCTTGGGAGAGGCACTTTTCCTATGCAGCCTCTCTCCCCATCAGTGTCTACCTGTGCCAGCTCAGCCACAACTGCCTGACGTGTAACATTGCTGTGTTTTGTTAAAACAGAGCGACAGCGTTCCACCCCAGAAACAGCTGCAGCCCAGGTTAGGAGAGGCTGAGGGATTTGGGCTTATTTAGTCTGCAGAAGAGAAGAGTGAGGGGGGATTTGAGAGCAGCCTTCAGCTTCCTGAAGGGAGGTTCCAAAGAAGATGGGGAGAAGCTGTTCTCAGTAGTGTCGGATGGCAGAACAAGGAGCAATGGTCTTAATGTGCAGTGGGGGAGGTCTAGGTTAGATATTAGGAAAAACTATTTCCCTAGGAGGGTGGTGAAGCACTGGGATGGGTTACCCTCAGGAGGTGGTGGAATCTCCATCCCTAGAGGTTTTTAAGTCCCATCTTGACAAAGCCCTGGCTGGGATGATTTAGTTGGGTTGGTCCTGCTTTGGGCAGGGGGCTGGACCCAGTGACCTCCTGAGGTCTCCTCCAGCCCCAGGATTGTGTGTTGCTCCCCAATGTTCTCGTCCACCAATTTGCTTTGTGAAGAGGAAGGGACTGGCCTGCCCCGACGGGGACCGGCGTTGCGTAAAAAGCCCCTTTCCCAGGAACATTTCACACTCATGCAAGGGGCCGATGGAAGGGAATTCCTTTGTCCATAGCAGGGGAGAAGCTCTCAGGCAGAATCCTCCTTCCACTTGTCCCGGCAGCCTGGGGGAGAAGCTCTCTCAGGCAGAATCCTCCTTCCACTTGTCCCGGCAGCCACCTCAGCCCAGTCCAGGTCTAAAAGCCAAAACAGCAGCCCTGCCTCCCAGTGCCAGTTATTTAGTGTGATTTGGCTCCAATAGGTATTTACAGTTCAAAGGGCTTTGTGGCCTGTTTGGGGGGGTGTCCCTCCCCCTCTATTGTATCCCCTTATCTGGAGCAGGCTCTGACAGGCTTATGCTCCCTCTGCCAGGGTAGATAGGGAAGTCTGGTCTCAGTGCTGAAGTCTGGCCTTCATCCTTCCCCCCCACCTCTGCCCCGCCCCCAGGAGCAGGGAGATACTGGTACAGCCTGGCCTGGCTGGGAACGCCATGGCACGGGAGCTATGCTGCCCTTGTGTACACAGTCGTCTGCAAACAAGCTCGTCAATTATTAATAAAGCTCAGCACAGCTTCAGGAAACCGAATGCAAGCAAGGAAAGAGGCCGGGACTTAGTTCACAGGACAGTCACGCCCAGGAGAAATGCATGCAGAGGATCCTCACTCTAGCCCACGAGTGTAGATAGCTCAGGAGAACTTCCAGGGAACAGCTGATCCCACTGGCAGGGAATCTTCATTGGCTTTGGGACGCACCACAGCATGGTCTGGAGTGAAACCAAGTAAGACGAGAGAGGCACGTCCATTAATTCAGGTAACGTGAACGTTCCTTTCTTTTGGGTCGAGCACTATAAGGGCCAATCTAACTGAATTAGGTTGTGTCTGGCGAAGGGAGACCTCTGGAGTCTATGCAGTTTCTAGCAGTCAAATTAGGGTCTATCAAGAGTTATAGGGTCTATCTGTGAGCCAAGTAAACACTAGCATCTCCATGCCACAGATGGGAAACTGAGGCACAGGGTTGGGTGACTGACTCCAGGGCACAGGGCAAGTCAGTGTCAAAACCAGGATTAAAACTCAGGAATTCCAGGTTGCCAGATGGGGCTCAGAGCATGTGACTCTTACCATTATTGGTTCACGTAAAGAGAAACCCCTCTGGGGAGTAGCGTGTTAGAAACGGGCACCAGCTGCCGGAGCTCGTTTCTGCTACGCAAAGCATTGCACAGTGTTTTGTGGGAGAGGAGAAAGCTTGCCTGCATGTGTTTGAGAGTTTCTATGTGGCTGGCAGCTCCCAGTCACCAAAGAGCGGGAGTGAATTCTCACTCTGTCAAGTGGCAGCAGATTTCAAGGCCTGGCCAGTGAGTTTCCTAGCAGAAGAAACCAGAGACATGGAATCTGGGTATTTACACTTCATACGCCTGTCCTTGGACAGAGGTGATCACAAATAGCATGCAGGCATTCCCCTCCTTCAGGAACTGTAGCCAAAATCCAATCCTTCATTTCCAGGAGGAAATTCTGCCCCAAGAAGTGATACTAGACAGAGAGAGCAACTCAGATTCTTCCCCTATCCCGTCCCTCCCCCACTCCTGCATGGAGCCTCATGAAGCTGCAGCATCAAGCACAGGTTGGGTTGGGCTGGATTGTGAATTGCACTGGATTTGGAAAGGGAACGTGTGAAACCCACCCAGGGTGAGCCCTAGTCCTGAGCAATCTACGTGCTGGCACTGAACCCTGATATCAAGTCCAGATGCCGAGAGGCAGGCCCAGCAACACCCCAATGGCAGGATCACACTGCAGCTGGAAGGTATGTGCAGGTTGAGGATACAGTCTCTCCCTGCAGGGCTGTCCAAGAGTTAACCTACTTTCAGCTGGGGGTTGCATGAGAGATGCACATGTCTTAGAGGGCACATACAGGATGAGCAAAATTCTCAAGTGTAACTTTTTTCCCCTGGGGGGTGACGGATAGATGCCGGTACACAAACACGTCACATTGGCAAATGCTTGTAGCTGGAGTTTTTTCGAAAAAAAGTCTAAGCCTTTTGTTTGGTCATTTTTTAAACAAAACGTTTTGACTTTTCGATTTGAACCCCCTCCTCTTCAAAATGACCTTTGCTTCTTGCATTTAAAGAGGGAGGGGGGGTAGATGAAAATGGAAATACAACATTTAGCTTGTCACCAACTAAGCTACATTTATTTATTTACTTCTTGATTTGCCAAACTGCAAAATTTCGCTTTCAGGGTGACCCCAAATGATTTTTTCCTCTGATTTTTTGGACCTACCTGTGAACACCCCACTCCCCCACCTTTTCACATAGCTCTAGGTCCAGAGACGCACTGACTCCTGAGAGGGAGTCTGGACACAAGCACTGACCTGGGGCAAGTCATGTGGTCTCCGTGTTTTGGTGTCCTGGTGTAGGAAGGAGAATCCTTGCTGCCTGAACTCACAGGGGTCTGGAGGAAGGGGAAAGCTAGCAATATAAACCACTGATGAAGGGCTGGGTGGTACAGATTGGACCTCCCTGGTCCAGCATCCTCGGGACCTGACTGGTACTGAACAACAAATTTTGCTGGACCAAGGAGGTCAACTCTGCCCCCCACCACCAGACTCCCCTCCTGGCCTCAGCTGCCACCACCCCCTCCCCTGCCAAACCCTGGACTGGCTGCTGCTGCCCAGCAGGCCAAAAGCCCACTTGGGCTGCTAGTCCCCAGCTGCCACTGGCCCCACAGATACCGCCAGCCCTGGCCCGGGCTCTCCCACAGCTGCTGCCAGACCAGGCCAGGCTGCTGCTGGACCCCCAGCTGCCCTATGGCTAATGTCACCAGCCCCACTGCCCAAGTGCCCACCACATCCATAGTCCCAATGTTTAGAGGTTCTACCTTTGGGTAAGGGGACTGTTACCCCTTTCTAAAACTCTGTGGGAGTTTTTTGGTTTGCCAGCTCCCAGTTTCAGAAGGGGAAGGGTTCATGAGACTGACAGACCCCAGAGACAATGGAAAGCAGCCAACACTCCAGCTCAGCCTGACTGACAGGTTGGACAGGCCAGTGAGGAAGGGGAGAGGCCAGGCCCCATCCTCCCTGTGCGCTGGGATTGTTCTGGCTCTCTCTGAGCAAACAGAGAGCTTAGGCAGCTGTCACATGAAATTGCATGCTGGTTTCCCTGACTGGGAATCGAACCCAGGCCACAGCAGTGAGAGTGCTGGATCCTAACCACTAGACCATCAGGGACACAGCCCAAGTAGTGCAAGCTGTGTGCTGAGGGGCAGTTTTTGCAGCTGCTGAGCTTGACACACACAGCTCAAGGAGCGCAGACCCTGTGTTGAGCAGCAGACTGGCAGTGCTCAGAGAGCCACAAGGAACAGAGAAGCAACGCAAGAAGCTAGAGACTGGCCAAGCAGCACCCTGCAGCTGGATGTGGTGAGCAGCTGGGAACTGCAAAGTGTGGGGAGAGGCTCTGGACTGGGAGAGGGGTCTGGCCACTTAGAGCTTGAGGCTGTGTGGTCACAGTCAGAGCAAGCGTGTCCAGCCTGCAGCCCCCCCACCCCCGCAGCACATCCAAGGCCTCTAAGGGGCCTCTAAGGAAGAGACTGTGGACTGTCCTTACACTCTGCAGAATTCTGTGTTGATGTCCCCGTGCTACAGAGCAGGGCTGTGTGTTCTCATTTAACCAGTCTCATTTTTTCTTATTCTTTTCTCTTTAATCAGTTGATGTTTAATAAATTGTATTTGCTTTGAACCTTATGAAGTGATCACTAGGCCAAGAAGGCATCCAGTGAGAAGAGAGCACCTCGGAGTGGGGACACCCTAACTCCTACCCCTAGTGACTACAAGGTCGGGGATTAAGCCCCAGGAAACCTGGGCCCAGCCTTGTTGGGGTTTCGAGGGCTCTGCTGCTCAGGAGAGTGGAGGGGGAGCCCTCAGGAACAGGGAGGCCGTGCGGTAAAGGAAGTGGGAGCGGGGACTCAGATCCTTTTGCTGGTCCATTTCACCGGGGTGGTATAGAAGCCAGGAATGTTCCCCACAATAGCAGGACCATTCCCCCACTTACATTTGCAGTTGCTCTTCTCCTCCAGAGGGGAGAGTCAAAAGCCCTGGAGTAATTTCTCTCAAAGGATTTAAAGAGAGAAGTTACCATAGAACAGGCCTAGCGGCCACCCACGGGTGCTCAGGCAGCTGACCTGCCACTGCAGAACTCACCCAGACCTGGGACACTTTCGCCCTCAGAAGGAGCATGGATGTTTTTTGGCCGTTAGGTAATAGTGACGCCAAATGAGGGGAGCACCTACGCTCAGGTCCTGCTCCGCCCTGACATGCCTTCTCCATCAGAGACAAACCCCCTCCAGCTCGTCTTCATTTCCCTCATCGGCCCGGCATGCGCTGTTAACAGT